ATCGTCTCATGCGTGCTTTGTCAAGTACCTCAAAGAACATATCTGAAGCTTGGCCCGTAGTTCTCCACACCCACGCCATCTGACTCGTTGAGCCCCTCTCTCTTGACCGGACCGTACTTGCGGTCAAGCCTGGAGTTCTGCCACATGAGCAACCCGCGTTGAGCGATGGCAATAAGAGCCGAGAAGAACATAAACGAAGCGCAGATGCTCATTCCCTTGACATATCTAGGCCGCTCTTCCAGCGGGAAGACATTCGTGCCCAGAAACGGGCCGCATTGGCCAACGAGGTTGATGAGTGCTATGGACATGCCGCGTCGCGTATCGCTGCCCTGGTTGTCTACAGTGATCATTATTAACTAAAGAAGCTTCTTCAAGGTGGGAGCTCTGGGATAGCACTCACTAAGGGTCAGAGCCAGGATGTTGGGAATGGTGGAAAATACACCAGCTGAAGCCAAGAAAGTAGCGAAATAGCGGACTCCAACCGTCTCGACAGCGGCAAGGATCAAATATCCCACGCCGCCGACCGAGCATGTAACGAAGAGCACAAGGCATCGTTGCTGGGTCCTGTCGGCAACCCAAGTCGTGATCAAGGCGCATAGGAAGGCGGCGAAGGAGGGAGGTGCGGACAAGCCCTGGGCGTCGATGGCGGTATAGTTCATATCCTCGAGAATGGTGGGTAGGAAGACGGGCAAGCTGGAGTAGCTGACGTTGCCACAGAAGTACATGAGCGCGCACATCCAAGCCTTTGGGTCAATGAAGATAGCGCCGATGTCCTTGAGTCTGACGCTCCCAATCCTGGCATCTGCGGCAGTGCCAACCTGGCGCACGGCCCTGGATCTGACGATGGCCTTCTCCTCGGCGGAAAGAAACTTGGCCTTTTCGGGAGAGTCCGGGATGAAGAAGAAGGCAACAACTGCCATGAGCACGGTCGGCAGTCCTTCGACGAGGAACAGTAGGCGCCAGTTGGCGAGGCGGGAATGACCGCTGGTAATGCCGTAGGCGAGAGCACCGGCGAAGGTTGACGCCAATGGTGCCGCAGAGGCAAAGATGCCGCACCGGAAACCAATCTCATGCCGGAGATAGAAGAAGGATAACAGGTAAATTATGCCCGGTCTGCCATGCTCGACGTCAGCAACAGAAATACACCGCATGGGGCTTGCAGGCCGCGACGCACCCGTAGGCAGCCTCAAAGATACCCAAAAGAAACCGTAGAGCCATCTCGCCGCTCCAGCTTTGTACCCCGGCCTGCACCGCAGCAATCAAGCCCCTGGATGCCGTGTTAGTCTAGAGTAGTCCCGGTGGTAACCAACACTCTCGCCAACTTACCAACTAAACACAACAATGCTCCCGACGATATGAGGAGGAAAGACCTTCCACAGCAAAACGGTGAATTCAGCAACAACATATGTGATGTAGAATATGTTGAGTAGCCAGCTGTATCGGTTCGTATCCAGGCCAAGCTCCTTGGCCATGCCGGCAATCCTTGCATTGCCAATGTTGCCTCGATCTAGGAAGGCGAGCATATCTTGGCATACCACTGTGTCAGTCGCGGCGTGGCTGCGGACCCTGAAGAGTCAAGACGACTCAATGTGGACTGTTGGCGGCCCGTCACTTACACAAAACGAAGAATAGTGTCATGAGGTTCCAGTCCAGCTTCCTGACGACTCGGGCCTCTTGCTTACGCGTGAAGTTCGCGACGGGACTGTCCTGGGGTGCTGCTCCATTGTGGGGCGAGATGGTTTGTCCATCGTCAATCCTGGGGGTCTGTTTTTCTTCGTCTGGCATGGCTGCGTGTCACAAGGCGCCGTCAGTTGGATGCGGAAGGTACAATGTGACAATAGGAGGACCAGGCGAGAGAAGCTGCCCTCAAGGCTGGGGGGGAAAATTGTGGATGCAGATCTCTCGCAATGGCAGGGTTGTACAAAATGGCACAGTGTTTATTAGGGGTAGCCCAGGTGGGCGATCGCCAAGAAATAGGCCCGATCAAAGCACCCCCGGAGTTATCTCTGGATCACAGCCGGTTTCCTGAGGCTCATGGATAGCTACGCCACAGGGTGGCGTGGACCCACCCCACAAAGTACTTGTGGGTCCGTCCTGGTCTCGCCTATAACCCTAACCCTAAGAGAACAGTAGTTGTATAGGATTAAGGTATGTTTGATTTTGAAATTATCTTACTAATGTAATAGCTTAGAAAAAAAATGAATCTAATGTAAGTGTGGTAGGGCAATAATGGTTTTGACTGGATTAAGCTACCGGACCTCTGTAGTCGATGGTGTATGGTGGGGCGAAAGAGTCGTGCACTGTCTCTCTGCCAGATGCAGGATGTATGTTTTGACCGTTGGTTCAGTGTCCTGTGGAAATTAGCCTATAGTCGAAACAAGGGATTCCTCCGAGGCGGATTTAGAACGGAAAGCTGAGGACAAAGCCCAAGCTCTGCCACAGCTTGTCGAACTCATAGGTATTCTAGAGCAGATCCAAGAGATCTGCCAGCATGCTTCCCAGACTTAGTACAACACATATGGCGTGAAAGGACTCGGCCGAAATGTCAACTCACAACAAGTGAATGCCCACGTCTTCCATCTTCAGCAACTGAAGGGAGTTGTGGAATCCCCCGAAAGGGTACGTTCTGTCAAAGATCCCTGTACAATCCCAGATTAGTGTTTTATTCTCAAGAAACGGCCGAAGATAGGTATGTTGAGTTTTAAAGCGTAAACCAATCTCATGATTGCCTTGGAATACATGTGCCGTGGTCGGGACTGCCGAATTCCGATTGCTCCCCTCCCCCCTGCGCGACCCACCGGGCCTGGCCCGTCCAGGTCCTGCGCTCGGACCACCATCTCGTACCCTCAACCGGCGAGCCTGGGTACCGGCCCCTTCACTTCTCAAGTCGCCGGGTCTTCATAAATACACCGCGCCCTCACCCGCTTGCTCATTTCCAACTTCCTCTTTCTATTTTCCTCCTGCATCCCGGATTCCAAGTCTTACTTCGGCCGGCCAATGGGAAACGCAGCGTATACGTGCCCATGCGCCGCCGCCCTGCCCCGGTTACCAACGCCCTCCCTCATCGCCCGGCCGAAGTCCCTCCCAGAAGCAGGAGAGGGGGGGCGGCTGTTTTTCCCGCCCGCCTTCCCCTTCTTTCCTCCCTTACTTCCTCTCCCTAATTTCGGCCCCGTACTCTGGCCAATGGCGAAGTCGCGCCGCGTGCGTGCTTGTCACGGACGGAGGCACACCTACAGTGGGCGCCCTCATCACTCCAGCCGATTATCCACACCTTGCAATTAGGCAGGTTAGGATGAGTTACAGTCTCCAACTTTCCCCGCCGTTTTTCCCTTTCCTATCGTGTATCCGAGGCTGTGCCCTGTTTTCAACGCAAAGCTCTGTATTCCTCAGACGCTCATCCATTGAACAGGCGCACGCGTTGGATTTCTAGACGAGAGCGAGAGCGAGAGCAGTCCGCACGCCGCCGGGGGTGGTATTTGGGGGGGGGGTGGTGGGGGAGCTGCGCGGGCAGGGCTCCGTAGTGTGGCTCTGTTCCCTTAACGTTAGCGGTATGTATTCCCTGCAGGATCAGGATGCTAAGTGGTCGGGATAAGCGTCTGGCTCTCTGGTTGAGAAAGACAAGGATCACCAAGTCAAGAGAAAGGCGGTCGTGCGGGCCCCAGGGAAGAACGTGATAGGGTGACGGCAGCAGCCGGCGGTCTGCTGGTGCAGCTTCCGACGGCGAAAAACCTGATTCTTGCAGATGACCGGCGATACGAGGACGCGGCCTCGACCAGTAGAACACTATCTCTGGGACAGATTTGTCAGCGCGGCGTGTCTCGACCATGCCCAGGCTGGGGCAGCGGGATGTTACCGAGGAGTCACCGGAGGGGGGAAAGCGTGGGGGAGGGGGAGGGGGGAAGGGCCTTGGCAGATCGCCGACCTTGAGCGACC